CCCAGCTCCACAGCCCCAGCCAGCCTGTGCCAGTCTCCTTCAGCCCCTCAACTCCCCACACATATTTTTTTCCTTTCTGGCTTATTTCAAAGCAAAGGAAGATGTCATATCATTTCACCTGTGAGTATCTGTTTTTATTATTTTTATTTATATATTTTGAGATAGAGTCTTGCTCTGTCACTCAGGCTGGAGTACAGTGGTGTGATCTTGGCTGACTCCAGCCTCTGCCTCCCGGGTTTAAGAGATTCTCCTGCTTTAGCCTCCTGAGTAGCTGGGATTTCAGGCACCCGCCACCACGCCTGCCTAATTTTTTTTTTTTTTTTTGTATTTTTAGTAGAGACAGGGTTTTAGTCTGTTGGCCACTCTCTTCTCAAACCCCTGACCTCGTGATCCACCTGCCTTAGCCTCCCAGAGTGCTGGGATTACAGGCGTGAGCCACTGCACCCGGCGAGTTATTATTTTTTTTTTTAGAGATAGAGTCTTTCTCTGCCGCCTAGGCTGGAGTGTAGTGGTGACATCATATAGCTCACTGCAGCCTCGAACTCCTGGGGTCAAGTGATCCTCCCACCTTGACCTCCTAAAGTGCTGGGATTACTTCCCACAATAGGTGGGAACCCATTGTGCCCAACCATTTTATTACGTTTTAAAGAACAGTCTTTTAATTAAATCTAAGGACATTGACTGTTTGTGCTTTAGTTTTTATGTTTCATAAGCCGTAATAGTCGCTGAGGCTGCTCTTTAATTCAGCTTGATGGTGGTTTGCCACATGCTGAGTATGGCCGAGGGCTCGGTCCCTGCCCGTCAGTGGGTAGCAGAGGGCACGGCGCTGTCGCGTTCAGGGAGGTTGGTTCCTTCAGCAGGCTCAGCTCAGACCAGTGCCGCTGGAGGTCTTGGAGGGCTGGGCCTGTGTGCCCTGGGGCGCCTCTGAGGAGTAGCTGCTGTACCTCTGAAGGTTTCAAGGAGCATCCCTGGGGAGGCTGAGTGGAAGCCAGCCCAAGTGTCCGTGCTGTCCAGAGCAGGGTCTCTCCTCTCGAGGGAAGTAGTTTTGGCCTTTCCTGAGTCACCTCAGGCCCCTGAGCTGCAGCCACCTTTCCACGGAGCTGCTGACCCCCACTTCCCACCCCGTGAAGGGCCCTGCAGCCAGGTCCTCTGCTGCCCCAGATCCCACCGCAGCCTCTCAGGAGCCCTCCTCTCCCGTACGGTTGTCTTCCACTCTCTGGGCTGTGCCATCCGTACACAGAGTATGCTCTAGTGTCTCCTGTCTCAAAACTGAGTGTGCTGTGTGCAGTGAGCTAAGCCAGGCACAAGGAGATCATCATTGCATGATTCCCCGGGGTGATCAAATTCAGAGCCGGCGGATGGTTCTGGAGGCCGGAGGAGGAGAATGGGGAGTGAGGGTTTAACAGGAACAGGGTTTCAGGTTTCTGCAATGGAAAGAGTCATGGAGGTAGATGGTGATGACGTTTACATAACATTTAAAATGTACTTAATACCACAGAACTGTGCACTTAGAAGTGGTGATGATAAATTTTATGTTTATCGTGATTAAAGAAACTTGGCAGATCTTAAACTCCATGTTCCTTTGCCTACCCTTCCCTTTCTCTGTTCCCAGCCATGGCAGGCTTCTCCCAAAAGACCTGTTTAACTCTGGTCAGGCATGATGGCTCACACCTGTAATCCCAGTACTTCAGGAGGCTGAGGTGGGCAGATTGCTTGAGCTCAGGAGTTCCAGACCAGCCTGGGCAAGGTTGCTCTACCAAAAATACAGAAAAATTTAGCTGGGTGTGATGGTGTGCGCCTGTAGTCCCAGCTGCTTGGAAGCTCAGGCCAAGGCTGCAGTGAGCTATGTTCTCACCACTGCACTCCAGCCTGGGTGACTGTATTAGAACATTTTAATACCACTATGAAGAAGTACCCAAGACAGGGTAGTTTATAAAGAAAAAGACATTTCGTGAACTCACAGCTCTACGTGGCTGGGGAGGCCTCACAATCATGGTGGAAGGTGAAGGAGGAGCAAGGTCACATCTTACATGGCGGCAGGCAAGAGAGAGCGTGTGCAGGGAACTGCTCTTTACCAGAACATCAGATCCCGTGAGACTCACTATCATGAGACCAGGACGGGAAAGACTCGGCCGCATGATTTGGTTTCCTCCCACAGGGTCCCTCCCACGATACGTGGGGATTATGGGAGATGAGATTTGGGTGGGAACACAGCCAAACCATATCAGTGACAGTGTGAGACCCTTTCTCAAAAAAACAAAAACCTTGTTCTGTTGTGTTTCTGTACCTCACTGCCCCCGTGTGGAGGCCGGCAGGCCCTCGTGTGGCTTGGGCCCCGGGGGTCCCTGACTTTTCTGTGTCCCTGTAAGCCGTACACTCAGTCTGTCAGCAGATCCACGTGGCTCCTCAGACATCGCGATCCCAGCCCTCTCTCCCCTGCCACTAGCACCTTTGTGGTACCTGCCACCTGTTTTTCCTTCTGTGACTATGGCAGCTTCCTGAGCTTAAAGTCTGAGAGGCGCAGCAGCCCGGCAGGCATTGAAGGGTTCAGCCATGTCCCTCCCCTCACAGCCAGGCAGAGCCCTCCAGGTGGTCCGTGAAGCCCTGCCTGGGGCAGCAGCGGGACAGAGAGGCTGGGTTCTGCGTCCCAGATTCTAGATTCTTCCTGACCTGGGTGTGGTGAGGAGCCGGCACCACCTCCTTTCCCTCTGTATCCTTTTCCCTTGCCACACTGGCTGTCTGGACGTCTGCAGTCCTCTGCCTCGCCCGACCTTCAGCCTGCAGCACCGGGTCCTGCCTCCCTAGCCTGCATCTGGTGGGACCTTCCCTGGCCCTGCCTCTACTGCCTGTCTTTCCCGGTTTTCCCGCACCCATGGTCACTCTGCCAGGTTGTCAGCTCCAGGAGGGCAGGGCTTCTGCCCAGCTCTGGGGTGGCTCAGTGTGTGAACACGTGGGTTCCTGAGTGACCTTGCTGCGTCCCACTGGCCTCTCGCCTGCCTTCCTCACAGCTTAGGTCCTTTCCAGTGCGTGTGCTGTGCAGCCAGAACCAGCCTGCCCCAGGCCCCGGCCCTCGCACCCTGGCCTGCTGGGCTTGTGCCTCAGGCCTTTGCTGGACTCCTGGTGCTGGAGGCAGAGGCCAGCTGCCCTCATGCTGTCTCCCATGCGTGTTCCCTGCCTCTTCACACCTCCCACCTACAGTGAGGATGGGGTAGGGACGGGCAGGATCCCAGCTGGCACGTACCGGGTTGTGCTGGTCGTCAGAGCAAGAGCGTGGCCTGCATTCTCAGTTGGGAGCTACTGTGTGTGTGGCAGGAACCTGCTGGTGCAGAGCAGGAACTGTGCACTTGGCTGTTTTACGGGGAGCCTGGTGGTGGCAAGGCACCCAGCAGAGACCCCCGTGGCAGAGCATCCCCCCAGCTCTGTGGGGCGGAGAGTGCAGACAAGGACACCTCTCTCTTCCTCCTGCCTCGAACTGTGGGAGCCCTGAGAGCTACCTGCAGAGGGTGGCCCCCAGGACAGGCGGGGAGGATGGCTCTGGGATCAGCATGCAGATGCCCAGCCATTGCTACACCGCCTGGCGTCCTTGGGTGAAGCTGTGGCTGCCCGTGTGAGTTCTACCGACGCTTTCTTCTTTTGTTACCAGAGCTGCCACGAAGGCCGCTGCCCGCTCATGCTGACCGAATGCCCCGCGTGCAAAGGCCTGGTCCGCCTCGGTGACAAGGAGCGACACCTGGAGCATGAGTGCCCGGAGAGAAGCCTGAGCTGCCGGCACTGCCGGGCGCCCTGCTGCGGGGCAGACGTGAAGGTGCGCAGGGCTGGAGCAGCCTGTGGGGCGGCCGCCATGCGGGGCTGAGCTGGGGCGCTGCATGCGGCCACGGGCTGTGTTGGCTCCTTTGCACTCGTTCCACCCTCAGCCCTTTCCCTGAAGCCACGGGGTGGATGTTTCTTGGCAGAACTGGGAATGGGTGTCAAGTTAATGTCGAGGTCTTTAAAAAGCATTTTTGTAGGCCAGGCATGGTGGCTCACGCCTGTAATCTCAGCGCTTTGGGAGGCTGAGGCAGGCAGATCATGAGATCATGAGTTAGAGACTAGCCTGGCCAACATGGTGAAACCCCGTCTCTACTAAAAATATACCAATCTAGCCAGACGTGTGGCAGGCACCTCTAATCCTAGCTACTGGGGAGGCTGAGGCAGGAGAATCGCTTGAACCTGGGAGGCCGAGGTTGGTGTGAGCTGAGGTTGAGCCACTGCACTCCAGCCTGGGCAACACAGTAAGACTCCATCTCAAAAAAAAAATTTTTATTTTTAAAGGCACTTTTGCCGGGCACGGTGGCTCATGCCTGTAATCCCAGCACTTTGGGAGGCCGAGGCGGGCGGATCACGAGGTCGAGTGATCGAGACCATCCTGGCCAAGAGGGTGAAACCCCGTCTCTACTAAAAATACAAGAATTAGGTGGGTGTAGTGACGTGCACCTGTAATACCAGCTACTGGGGAGGCTGAGGCAGGAGAATTGCCTGAACCCAGGAGGCAGAGGTTGCGGTGAGCTGAGATCACACCACTGCACTCCAGTCTGGCATCTGGCCACAGAGTGAGACTCTCAAAAGAAAAAAAAAAACAAAAAAAAACGGCATTTTTATGTTAGCAAAGCCTAAATGCGTCAGGCAGAGAGCCCAGAGGCGGGTGTGCAGCCCTCCTCGCCCGGCCTGGGCGTCACTCCCCAGACAGTTGCTCAAGCCTGACTTGGTGTCTCCTGAAGAGTTGGTGAGCGCGTGCTTCTGCGGTGCTCAGACCTGTGCACCGCCAGCTTCTGCGTGCTTCTGGGTGCAGCGCCACACCTGAGACAGCCGCGATGCTCACACGGCCTTCACGCCCAGTCTGCATCCCTGTTGTCTGTCTTTGCCTTGGCTTGTTTGAACCACGGTCCACACAGCGTTCTTGCCTTTGGTTGAGATGTCTCTGGGTCTCTCTCAGCCTCTGGCAGGCCCCTGTAGCATCCTTTTTCCTGGGCTGTTGTCCTTCAGGAACTCCAATTCCCGGACCTGTCCCCAGGCACCAGGTGCTCCTTCGCCGCCCTTCCCTGTAGACTGTGAGGTGGACGGGCCTGACCACAGCACGTCTGGGGCGCCGGGCCCCCTGCAGTAGCATGTCAGGGTCTGTCTTGGGGACATCCTGCACGCGGCCAGCCCGGCCCATCCACCAGACCCTCCCGCCAGACTCCCCATTTTCATGTGGGCTGTTTCACGTGGCCTCTGAGTCTCCTCTGATGGCTTGGGCCTCCCTCACATTGCCCTGGAGCTGCAGAACAAGCAGTGTTAAGCTCTCTGAGGCTCCGGGGCGGTGCTGGCAGGATCCTGCCTGGGCAGAGCGCTGCCTGAGAGGCTTGAGGGTGACCACGTGCTCCTGCGGCCCGTTGGCGCTGCCCGGCCCGTGCCTGGTACTGGCGTCCACCCTCACGCCCCTGACTGCTTCTTTTCAAGGCGCACCATGAGGTCTGCCCCAAGTTCCCGTTGACCTGTGACGGCTGCGGCAAGAAGAAGATCCCCCGGGAGAAGGTGAGTGTCCCTCACACCCTCTGAGGACCACGGGGCGGGGCCCATGAGTTGGCAGTGAGGGTCCTGTAGGGTGAGGTTGGGCAGGTGACTACCTTAGTGCCCACAGGAGTGGCATGCAAAGCTTCCGTAGCGTCTGCTCATGGGTGCATTCAGGGCTGCGGCCACTCTCCTGGTGGGTTGGTGGCCAGGTGGCTGAGTCCTGAGTCCTCTTCATCCTCCAGTGTACACAGCTGCTGACTTTTGGGCAAGTCACTTCCCAGTTATCCTGAACATGAAACGTGAATGTTTTCATCAACCTCCATGTGCTGCTTCAAGAAATGTTGGTATTGATTTTGAAGCTGAGTGTTTGCAGCAGGTGGTCGGGCTGGAGACAGGTGCCCTAGACTGGTCTGCTGCCACAGCCGGGAAACGCCGGTGCCTCGGCCGGCAGAACTTCATCCCTGACGTCCTTAGTTCTGGCAGGAAAACGGCTTCTCGCCCAGTTGAGCATTAACTGCTGCAGACGACACCTTTAGGAAAGGAAGCTGGGAGATACAGGTGGAGACGTTTTCTCAAACTGCCTCCCTTGTTGGAGGTGAGGGTAGCTCGTCCAGAGGCTGGAGTTCTGGAAGGGGGTGTGGCGCCTGCTCAGTGTGTCAGGTCGGAGGTCAGATGCAAAGGCCGTGCGGGTGGCGTCCCCGTCTGGGCAGCAGCAGGAGGCCCAGGTGGCCGAGCCCGCGTGCAAGCTCAGCCCCACAGCTGTGTGCCTGTCTTTCTGGTTTGCTTCCGCTTAATATAGGTCACAGTCTGAGTCCTGAAATGGGTAGGGCAGGGGATGGGGTTCTGTCTCCCCACCTGTCTGTGTGACGTGTCCCGCCCTGGGAACTCGGCCGAGCGCTTCCTGAAAGCGTCCTTGCGTCCTTTCCCCTCACTGGAGCCTGAAGCTCACGCTAGAAGCCTGCTGGGTTTGTCTCCTCGGGAGGCCATGGAGCCTGTGGCTGCTGAGATGCCCCTTCAGGGGCTAGGACACCTGCCTGGGGCCGGTGTCTACGAGGCTGTGGAGGTGTCTACCCTGCTGGTGGAGCCTGGAGGTGGCCCCAAGAGGTATCCTCTGCCCATGCCTGGGTCTTGGCTGTCCTGAGGGGTGGCACTGAGGAGTCAGGAGGTGATTCTTTCCTTGAGACTTTGTTTCCAGAGTGAAAGACGAAAGATGGGCTCCCAAGCAGCGGTGTCTGGTGGGCTCTGTCCCCACCACGGCACTGTGAACATGTGGCTTCGCGTGAGCGTGGTGCATCTTCGCCCGTCCCGTGTGTTTTGATGTTCACAGATCCTCATCTTGAGACAGAGGGGCCTTTCAGGCTCTCCTGGAATGAGTCTCTTGGGCCCCGCCTGCCTCCTCAGGGCAGTCCTGTCCAGGCCTGGAGCTCCAGCCCTTCGGAGCAGGGCGACATATAGGGGCTGTGTCTCCGTGCAGGCTTTGCTGTGGCTGTCTGGCCCCCAGGCCCATTCCAAAGGCAAGAGCCGAGAACTCGCTCAGATGTTTCCAGTGTGTGTGGTGTGGGAGGGATTTCCTCTTTTCTTTTTTTAATGTTGAAAATCTTGGTTCCTAGCAGTGGTAACATATTTGCTTTATGTTGTATAGAGAGTAGACTTAAAAACAGCGGCTGGGTGCAGTGGCTCACGCCTCTAATCTCAGCACTCTGGGAGTCTGAGGCAGGAGGATCACTTGAGGCCAGTTTGAGACCTGCCTGGCCAGCATGGTGAAATCCCATCTCTGAAAATACAAAAGTTTGCTGTGCGCGGTGGTGCACACCTACAGTTCCAGCTACTCGGGAGGCTGAGGTGGGAGAATTGCTTGAACCTGGGAGGCAGAGGCTGCAGTGAGCTGAGATTGCACCACTGCACTCCAGCCTGGGTGACAGAGCGAGACCCTATCTAAAAAAAAAAAAATCAAGGCTGGGTATGGTGGCTCACACCTGTAATCCCAGCATTTTGGGAGGCCAAGGCAGGTGGATCACCTGAGGTCAGGGGTTGAAAACCAGCCTGGCCAGCATTGCAGAACCCCATCTCTGCCAAAAATATTAAAATTGTCAGATGTGGTAGTGCAGGTAGGCCTGTAATCCCAGCTACTTGGGTGGCTGAGACAGGAGAACCGCTCAAACCTGGGAGGCAGAGATTGCAGTGAGCCAAGATCGCACCAGTGCAGTCTAGCCTGGGTGATGGAGCAAGACTCCATCCCAAAAAAAATGACAAAAAACAAACCAGGAACATGGCTTCTGATAATGAGACCACCTATTTATTTGAAGCTGTTTTTGTTCTTGGAGGTACATCTTACCAAGACGTAGAGTCCAAATAGCATGTTCTGAGGTCAGTTGGAATAAATTTTTTCTTTGAGTTTATGTCAAATGTGGTAGACAGTTCATTTGCTTCTGGTCTTTCAAAACGTGAGGTTCTTTTAAAAACTTGCTTTGGTTCTTTGATGACGTAAGCTGTTGGCCCATCAGTCAGAGCTGTGCCGAGCACCAGAGCTGCCGCCCTGCAGGCCCCGTCTCGTCCTCCCAGCCCCTCCTCTCCATCTTTGCTGGTTTTGCTGGAGCCTTTCGGTGACCACGCTCTCAGGGCTTGGTCAGGCTCCTCAGCGCTGCCTGGGACACGTGCAGGGCTGAGCCAAGCGTGGGGCGGCGTGTGTTGGGAGCTGGTCCTTTGGAGGCTGGCCGGTAGGGCTCGCTGGATGGGGGAAGTGAGCCTGGACCTCATGGCTGAAGAGCCCAGAGGCCTCCGCGGTCACAGACACCTCATGTTAGAGAAGGTGTTTGCCCTTCATGATGGTGCTGGTAGGAACCATGGATAGGCAGTGTTTAGCATTTCCTGGGGGCACTGGGGATTGTCCTCCTGCCTCACAGGAACCCTAGGGCATCCTTTATCAGAGGAGGACATTGAGACTCACAGAGGCCAGGTGCCCAGCCGGCTTCTGCCTCCGCAGACCGCCCCGTGTGGGCAGCATGGGGGCTCGTCTTTTCGTTTTCCAGCAGCGCCTGCCCCCTCACCTGCCCCCCCAGGCGCTGCACCCCCATTCGCAGCATGCTGCACACACTCCAGGTTCCTAGTGTCCACTTGAGCTTCCTGTGATGGAAATTTCTGAGCCTGGACAGAGGAGAGAGATCACGTTAGAACTTGGGGCCCTGCTGCAGCTGGAGATGGGGGTGCCCAGTGCCAGTTCTGTGTCATTCCTGCCCCCACTTCGTCCCGCAGCCCAGCGTTTCATCCGAAAATACTTCCGCGGCAGCAGAGGGATCCTGGCTTTATTTTAGGAGAAAGTACATTATGGGTTCTCACTGGTGTTTCCATTTCAGATTCTCACCCAATTTCCCTGTTGCTACCTCTTCTTTCTGCGGAAAGTCAGAACTCTGGTTGACGTTGCTGAACACAGAACAGTGTCAGTGTTAGCATGCACTGTGTGGTCCCGGCGAGTCACGTGACAGCCGAGCTCTCTGGGCTCTCTTTGCTTTTAGAGTCCATATTGAGTTGCGGTGTTGGAAGTCATCCAAAGCGACCTCTCTGGGCACGCGGCTGCCTCAGTATGCCACAGAGGCTCATTTGTTTTGTTTTACTTTTGAGTTTTAAAAATGGTTCTTAAGAGCAGGCGCGGTAGCTCACACCTACAATCCCAGCACTTTGGGAGGCCAAGGTGGTTGGATCACCTGAGGTCAGGAGTTTGAGACCAGCCTGGCCACCATGGCAAACCCCATCTCTACTAAAAATATGAAAATTAGGGGCCGGGCACGGTGTCTCATGCCTGTACAAATCCAAGCACTTTGGAGGCCAAGGCGGGCGGATCACCTGAGGTTGGGAGTTCAAGACCAGCCTGACCAACATGGTGAAACCCTGTCTTTAAAAAAAGAAAAAAAGAAAATTAGCCAGGTGTGGTGGAGCATGCCTGTAATCCCAGCTACTTGGGAGGCTGAGGCAGGAGAATTGCTTGAACCTGGGAGGCGGAGGTTGCAGTGAGCCGAGATCACTCCACTGCACTCCAGCCTGGGTGACAGAGAGAGACTCTGTGTCAAAAAAAAAAAAAAGTTTTGTAGTTTTATAAAATGGTCACATGGCACCAAAGCAAACACTACAAACGTGCATTCTGAGACGTCAGAGGGAAATGTGCCGGGCCCCCTGTCAGCCGTGCTGCGTGGCAGTTCGGGAACTCACATTCCCATAAGTGTTGTGGGAGCACTGTCTCCCCAGACCTGCTGGCAGAGTGTGGTATGACGTTTCCCAGGGTGATGCGTGAGAAACACATGAGGCCTCTGTGTCGGGGTCCGCAGCCGGGGGTCAGCCAGCTGTCCACTGGGAACGCCCAGGGAGAAATGCGTCTGGACTGAGCATGTGCAGGCCATTTTATAAAACTACAAACCTTTTTTTTTTTTTTTTTCACACAGAGTCTCTCTCTGTCACCCAGGCTGGAGTGCAGTGGCACGATCTCGGCTCACTGCAACCTCCGCCTCCCGGGTTCAAGCGATTCTCCTGCCTCAGCCTCCCAAGTAGCTGGGATTACAGGCATGCTCCACCACGCCTGGCTAATTTTCTTTTTTTTTTTTCACATGCACTCACGTTTATTTTCACATGCACTCACGTCGTATTGGTGTCATGAGCAGACTAGAGCTGATTTAAAGTATAAGGGAGGGTGTGCTTAGGTTCTGTGCAGATACTCTGCCGTTTTACGTCGGGGACTCCAGCATCCTCAGGAGTCCTGGGACCAACCTCCTGTGGATGGCAAGGGAAAGCAGAGTCGCAGGCGGTTCTGACGGGCGTTCTCAAGCTGTGGTATGACCGAGCTCCTCTGCTTCTCTTTCTGGGAGAGGTCATCCATTCATGACTCCTGCCTACTTAATGATGTTTTTGTTTCTTTGTTTTGGGGGGAACTGTGCAAGGTTCTTATGTTGTGGTTTCTGGAAGCTGATTCATAGTTAGGGCCATTTCCCTGCTCCTGAGCATGTGGGAAACCCTGTGCTGCTTCTAATGTTTGTGGGTTTGATTTTCTCACACACAGAGCCGTGACATACCTGCCGTGTCACCTGGGAAATGGAGGAGGGACTTGCGTTTGATGTTTTTCCTTGGGCTGTTCCCTCCTCCCTAGACCCGTATCAGATACCACAGTGTTGGGCTGTTTCTTTCCTGCTTTGCTGCCGCCCTGTCGCACATGAATGTCTGTGTGCACTTGGCTCCTTTCTGGATTTTGCTTTTTGCTTCGTGATTTGTGTGTGTCATCCTGCACCACCGCGCACCAGGTGAGCAGCGGCCATTTGATTCTGTCTGCGTTTTGACCAGGCCCTGGGGCCTCAGCACCGCCTGTCCTGTGGACTGTGATAGAGGACAGGTGCGCCATGCGACACACGGGCAGGGATCTCCACGTGTGTCCCAAAACGCTACCCCATCTCAGTCACCGGCACAGTGTCTGCACTTGCACATGCGTGTGCACGGGTGTGTGTATGCGTATGGCTTTGGAAATGGGTTGTTGGGTTTCGTTCAGCGTGAGAGTGGAGAGGCCGACGGGGCGAGTCACGTACCCTCTGTCCATTGCTGCGGCCTGTCCAGAGGTGCTGAAGTGGGTTAGAACAGAGAAACATGAGGCCGGGCATGGTGGCTCACGCCTGTAATCCCAGCACTTTGGGAGGCCGAGGCAGGTGGATCACGAGGTCAAGAGATCGAGACCATCCTGGTCAACGTGGTGAAACCCTGTCTCTACTAAAAATACAAAACATTAGCTGGGCATGGTGGCGCGTGCCTGTAATCCCAGCTACTCAGGAGGCTGAGGCAGGAGAATTGCCTGAACCCAGGAGGCGGAGGTTGCGGTGAGCCGAGATCGCGCCACTGCACTCCAGCCTGGGTAATAAGAGCGAAACTCCGTCTCAAAAAAAAAAAAAAAAAAAAAAAAAAGAACAGAGAAAGATGGCACTGACGTCCTCTCCTTACAGTTTCAGGACCACATCAAGACATGTGGCAAGTGTCGAGTCCCTTGCAGATTCCATGCCCTCGGCTGCCTTGAGACGGTGAGTCTGGGGGTCTGAGGCAGAGGCCGCCCCTCGTCCTGGGTGTGGTCCGCACTGCCTCCAGCCCCGAGATTCCTGGTTTTCTTCCCGCTGCTCCTCAGCCTGTGCTGCAGGGCCGCCGCCTCCCATCCTTGCACGAAGACCGGGATGCCGTGACAGCATTTACAGCGGAGTCCATTGCTGACTCGATTCTGTGTAACCTTAGATACTGTGGTTTTTCCTGATAACGGTGAAGTGACCATTGCTGCCTCCGTTTTCTTTGTCTCCGTTGGACAGTCTCCCGCTCTCAGTGTTCTTGTCTGTTTCCCCCTCAGACCTGGCATCTGCCATCTCCAGGAAGCCGGGGCTTCCCACGCAAGAGGTTGTTTAGAGACCACCCGTGCCTCAGTGGTGCTCGCTGTCGCCGCCACCATGGTCCCTGTTTCCGGGCCTCTTGGTGTTGAGATGAGAGGGAACATAGCACGAGTCTGTGACAGCGTTTCCCATTTGCACGGAGGGTCTCCCCATGTGGCACACCGCCCCAGGCTCAGCCAGGCCCTGCCTTCTCCACGCCGTGCGCGGCTCCTGAGAAGGTGCAGGGTGTGCTCTCGTCCGGCTGCTTGTGTCTGTTGAGTGCCTTCTGCTCTCTGGGTGGTTATGCCTCTAGCGGGTACATGTACAGGTCCGTTTGTCTTTTACTGTAATTATTCTAGAATGCCTTTTTTATCTTTTTTTTTGAGGCTGAGTCTTGCTGTCACCCAGCCTGAAGTGCAGTGGCGTGATCTCAGCTCACTGCAACCTCGCAACCTCTGCCTCCCGGGTTGCAGCGATTCTTGTGCCTCAGCCTCCCGAGTAGGTGATGAAAGGCTGGGACTACAGATGCCCGTCACCACACCTGGCTAAGTTTTGTATTTTTAGTAGAGATGAGGTTTCACTGTGTTGGCCAGGCTGATCTCAAACTCCTGACCTCAAGTGGTCCTCCTGCCTCGGCCTCCAAAAGTGCTGAGATTATAGGCATGACTGAGCCTGGCCTCATTTTTCTATTTTGTTGTGAAAATTTGAAAATAATTTAATTGCAAAGTCAGGCCTATAAAATGAGATGTGTTTGAGGAGGCCTAGCTTCCACCCTGTGTTTTCACCTTCCCTCTGTGGGTAGCTTTTTATTTTTATTTTTTTTAATTTTAATTTATTTTTATTTCTTATTATTATTTATTTCTATTTTTTTCGTGATTAAGGTGTTCTAATATTATTATTATTTTTTATTAAGACAGGGTTTCACCCTGCTGGCCAGGATGGTCTGGATCTCCTGACCTCGTGATCCAACCACTTCGGCTTCCCAAAGTGCTGGGATTACAGGCGTGAGCCACTGCACCCGGCCAATTTATTTTATTTTTCAATTTTTTTGAGATGAATTCTCGCTCTGTCGCCCAGGCTGGAGTGCAGTGGCGCCATCGCGGCTCACTGCAACCTCTGCCTCCCAGGTTCAAGCAATTCTCCTGCCTCAGCCTGCAAAGTAGCTGGGACTACAGGTGCATGCCACCATGTCCGGCTAATTTTTATAGTTTTAGGAGAGATGGGGTTTCACCATGCTGGCCAGGCTGGTCTCGAACTCCTGACCTTGTGATCTACCCGCCTAGGCCTCCCAAAGTGCTAGCATTACAGATGTGAGCCGCCATGCCCAGCCTTATTTTATTTTATTTTTGAGACGGAGTCTTGCTGTTACCCAGGCTGGAGTGCAGTGGCACGATCTTGGCTCACTGCAACCTCTACCTCCCAGATTCATGGGCTTCTCCTGCCTCAGCCTCCCAAGTAGCTGGGATTACAGGCACGTACCACCAGGCCTGGCTAATTTTTGTATTAGTAGAGATGGGGTTTCACCATGTTGCCCAGGCTGGTTTCAAACTCCTGACCTTAGGTGATCCACCCACTTTGGCCTCCCAAAGTGCTGTGATTACGGTGCCCATCTATTTTTGCTATTTATTTATTTATTACACAGAGTCTTGCTCTGTCGCCCAGCCTGGAGTGCAGTGATGCCATCTTGGCTCACTGCCAGATGCCACCTCCCCCTCCTGGGTTCAAGTGACTCTCATGCTTCAGCCTCCTGAGTAGTTGGGATTACAGGCATGCGCCACCACACCCAGCTAATTTTGTATTTTCAGTAGAGACGGGGCTTCACCATGTGGACCAGGCTTGTCTGGAACTTGTGGGTGGCTTTTTAAAAAGTGTTGTATTCTTTTTTCTTTCTTTTTTTCTTTTTTTTGTTTTCTTTTCTTCAAAACAGGATTTCGCTGTGGAGCCAGGCAGGAGTGCAGTGATGTGATCTCAGCTCACTGCAGCCTCAGCCTCCTGAGCTCAGGTGATCCTCCCACCTCAGCCTCCTGGGCTCAGGTGATCCTCCCACCTCAGCCTCCTGGGCTCAGGTGACCCTCCCACCTCAGCCTCCTGGGCTCAGGTGACCCTCCCACCTCAGCCTCCTGGGCTCAGGTGATCCTCCCACCTCAGCCTCCTGAGCCGGTGGGACCTTTGGCACACACCACCGTGCCTGGCGAATAGTTTTAAGTGTTTCTCGTAGACGTGGGGTTTTGCCACGCTGGCCCAGCTATTCTGCAACTCCTGGGCCCGAATGATTCTCCCGCTTTGGCCTCCCAAAGTGCTAGAATCACAGTTGCGAGTTGCTGTGCCTGGCTACAGCTCAGTTCCGTAACAAGCTTCATATTCCTTAAACACAGCTGACGTTCAGGCGGTCATAGACTAGAAGACCTCCCAGGCATCCCTGTCTGTGGCTCTGGCCTGTCTCCTCAGTTCAGCTGAGGCCCGTGTCTTGGTGGCCGTCCCCGGTGGGAGCTGAATGGTGGGTGGAGCCAGCAGCCTCCCCGCCCTGTGTCTGCAGGTGGAGAGCGAGAAGCAGCAAGAGCACGAGGCGCAGTGGCTGCGGGAGCACCTGGCCATGCTACTGAGCTCGGTCCTGGAGGCAAAGCCCCTCTCAGGAGACCAGAGCCAGGCGGGGTCAGAGCTCCTGCAGAGGTGCGAGACACTGGAAAAGAAGACAGCGACCTTCGAGAACATCGTCTGTGTCCTGAACCGGGAGGTGGAGAGGGTGGCCCTGACCGTCGAGGCCTGTAGCCGGCAGCACCGGCTGGACCTAGACAGGATCGAAGCCCTGAGTAACAAGGTCTGTGCCCGGTGGGCGGCTCGCCGTGAGGAGGACAGTGTAAAGGGGGATGGTGCCCAGGCCCCAGCAGCTTCCGGCAGGTCCTGGAGCTTTACAGCCTGGGCAGCCTAGAATTCCATCTGCAAACCCCCGTCCAGTGTGGTTTCTATGGGGGGGCTCTGGCTCCCTTCATTTCTGAGCCCTGTTCTCTGAGGGGCGAAAACCCTGGAAAGTCACAGACGCCACAGGCTGTGGGTGAGAGCCTCCTCTCTCTGATGGAGGGCAGAGTCACCCATGGGGGTGTGCGTGGCGTGGTGTGGCTTCTGAGCACGCTTGCTATCCGGAGCTGCTGTGTGAACTTGGAGCCCCCACCTCTTCGCAGGGTGGGCTTGGGTTCTTGTGGACAGGGAGCCGACGAGGAACGCAGAGCCCAGGGTGCCTTGAGGCACAGTCCTGCTGGAGGTGGGCAGGTGTGGGAGGCAGGGGCTCATGCCTGCACCCCTCCTGTAAGAGGGAAGGTGGTCTTGGCACCCACAGGTGCAGCAGCTGGAGAGGAGCATCGGCCTGAAGGACCTGGCGATGGCCGACCTGGAGCAGAAGGTTTTGGAGATGGAGGCGTCCACCTACGATGGGGTCTTCATCTGGAAGATCTCAGACTTCGCCAGGAAGCGCCAGGAAGCTGTGGCTGGCCGCACACCTGCCATCTTCTCCCCAGGTGTGGTTCTAGCCCCGCCACCCCCCCAACCCCGGCAGCTGCTGTTTACTTAGCACCTGAGTTCCCTCATCCCCGAGACCACATGGGATGGGTGCCAAGGGCGGGGCTGGGATACAACCCCCACTGATACCAGGAGTGGCTGTGCCTCCCTGAGTGGCCAGTGGGCAGCTGAATGTGGGCTGGCCAGTGGGCGCCCTTGGGCAGATGTCGGGGGGGGGTGTTGGGCTGGCTGCCCTCCCACTCTGCCAGCCCTCAAGGTGTGCCCCTTGTCACCCTCAGCTCTGCACTGCGAGCCCCATGTCACCTAAAGCAGTCATTACACCAGCAGGCTCTCCTGCCTGACCACAGCTCCCAGGAAGACAGAGGGCAGGTGGGGTCACCGCGTGCGTGGGTGGCACGAGGTGGGACATGGCTCTCAGGGACTTGGGGCTGAGCTAGTCTGACCCTTCCCAGGTTCACTTTCCAGCTGCACACAGGAGCTCAGCGAGGGTGTTTCTCGTGCTGCCTGCTTTTTTTTTTAACCCCAATTACAGGGTCTCTTGAGAGGGTGCTCGTGGGGTCTCCCCTGGAGGGCGCTGGTACAGAGGGATGGGGTGGGGGCTGTCACGACTGTGCTTCCGGGCACTGTGGTCCAGAGGTGGCCCCGCTGCTGTCCCTCGAGACCCTCACGGACCTCGTGCCAGCCCAGCCATCATCTCTGCTCCTGCTCAGGCCCTGCCTTCCTGCCCTTTGTAGCCATGGCTCAGAACACGCCCTCATGTGGGCTTTATTTTTATGCTGACTTGTTGAACCTGCTGATAGAATCTTAGATGCTAGGATCAAGGCTGAGACACTGTAGGCACCTTTCCTGTTTGAATTTAAGCTGACACTGCTGATGAAACTCCCTGAGCACCAGCGGCTGAGGTGGTCCTGTGCTCTAGCGCCCTTGAGGCAGAAAGAGACCCAAGTGTCATCTTGAGGGGCTGCCATGTTCTTCTTTGTGGTGCATCCTGACAAGGCCTTCAGCAGGCGTCAGAAACAAAACTCACTCTCTCTTCTCTGAGATGAGACTGGAGAAATGAAAGATTGTTTTGGGGGACACTCTAGGGCATAGTCTAGGCAGCCTGCAGGACGTAGCTCTGTTCCTCCAGGGCTGGGAAGGTCAGCACCGCCCTCTGGTGGCCACCTTCCCTCTGCAGCTGCTGGGAGCTCTGAGCGTGGGTTGAAGGGTGAAGGGGTGAGGCCCTGCCACAGTGGCGGTCTTTGAGGGGGCTGCACTCGGGCACAAGAACCTGTTTGTATAGAACATCTGCTTTAAGGGATGCTGGTGAACACAGCTTGTGTACGGCACGGCTGTGGAGGGCAGGGAGGACGGGCTGGGGAGGATGGGCTGTGGAGGGCGGGGAGGACGGGCTGGGGAGGATGGGCTGTGGAGGGCGGGGAGGACGGACCTTGGGAGGATGGGCTGGGGAGGGCGGGGAGGACGGGCCTGGGGAGGATGGGCTGGGGAGGACGGGCCTGGGGGCCCAGTGCCGCCATGGTGGGATCACTGTGTATGGAGCTTTGTGCACGGTGTTCTGTCATGTGACTTGGAAAGCAGCCTCTGCCCCGTTGTGGCTGTCATTCGAATCTCTTGTTGGGCAGGAAGGACGTGGACTCTTCTTGTTCTGGGGCTCTCCCCGGCCAGCGCCTCTCCTGAGGCAGGCTTGGGGCCCCTCTTAGACCCTGGGCCAGTCAAGGGTTCCCCTCTGCAGCTCTGCCGAGGCCCCAGCCACACTGTGGTTGGTAGATCTCTCCATGTTGCTCTACTCGCCTTCTTAAGTTTTGGGGGTTACATTTAGGATTCTTAAAAATGCTTTCTCATGGCTCACGCCTGTAATCCCAGCACTATGGGGGGCCGAATCGGGTGGATCACCTGAGGCCAGGAGTTCAAGACCAGCCTAGCTAGCATGGTGGAACCCTGTCTCTCCTGAAAATACAAAAATTAGCCAGGCGTGGTGGCAGGTGCCTGTAGTCCCAGCTACTCAGGAAGCTCAGGCAGGAAATTCGCTTGAGCCCGGGAGGTGGAGTTTCCAGTGAGCTGAGATTGAGCCACTGCTCTCCAGCCTGGGCAACAGAGTGAGACACACTCAAAAAAAAAAAGCGTTTACTGATTTTTCTAATTACTGGGTTTTTTTCAAAAGTAAAATTTGTTTTCATTGGAAATTAACTGCAGTTTGAGAACAAACATTCTTTGCACCCCAGAACCTGCATGTTCCTATGTGGCGTGGGTGTCCCTGGGGGTGGGCCGGCAGGCAGGAAGAGCCCGCCCTGCCCATGCTGAGGGTCAGCTGACAGGCCCCTCCGCCCGCCTCCGCAGCCTTCTACACCAGCAGGTACGGCTACAAGATGTGTCTGCGCATCTACCTGAACGGCGACGGGACCGGGCGTGGAACCCACCTGTCCCTCTTCTTCGTGGTGATGAAAGGCCCGAACGACGCCCTGCTGAGGTGGCCCTTCAACCAGAAGGTGAGGCCGTCCCCGCGTGCTTCACCGAGGGCAGGGCAGCTTCCGCGGCTCAGGCTTGTGCAGGACGGGGTGGCTGGGGCTGCCGGCCCAGGTGTCTGCAGCAGGCAGGTCACCCTGTGGTGCTGTGTCACGTGGTGGAGAGTTCTCGCAGTTTCTGTCCTTTCCACAATTTCCTAACACTGGTCCGTGACACAAGCAACTGGCTTCCTGACGTGTCAGATGAATATTACTAAGAAAAAGCACAAGGCCGGGTGTGGGGGCTCACCCTGTGATCTTAGCACTTTGGGAGGCTGAGGTGGGAGGATTACTGAGCCCAGGACTTTGAGACCAGCCTGGGCAACATAGTGAGACCCCATCTCTACAGAAAAAAGAAAAATTAGCTAGGCCTGGTGGTGTGCCCCTGTATCCCCAGCTATTAGGGAGGCTGAGGCGGGAGGACTGCTGGAGCCCAGCAGGTTGAGGCTGCAGTGAGCTGAGATCACGCCACTGCACTGCAGCCCGGGCAACAGAACAAGACCGATCTCTAAAAAATAAGAGAATGCAAGGACAAGGCACAGAGTGTTGAAAGCTGGGGGTGCCCAGCCTTAGCCTAGGACTCCAGAGGTCAGAGGCGTCTGGACTAGCAGTTTGAAAATAGGGCCCTGGAGAGTGCAGAGGAAGGAACACGGCTTCGGGGCCGTCTTCGTCAGAGGCGTGATTTATTATTTTGAAAATCAGAATCTGTTTTTGGTTCAGGAACTGAAGATCTAGAGACGAGGCTGGAATGGGAAGGTCCTTCCTTTCGCCACACTAGGCCCAGGCTTGCTGCGTCCCCCACCCACTCTAGCCAGTGGAGTACGCAGAGCAGAGCTGGACGAGGGGAGGGGGTGGAGGGCCCGGGGCAGCCGGGTTCACAGGCCCGACAGAGGCAGGCTCAGGCTCTCTGAAAAGGACGCTTAGGGTTAGGTGGGCAGTGGGTGCCTCATGATATCTTTACCAAGAAAATGTCTTTGCCAGCTGTATTATTTTTTGCTTTTTCCTAATACAAATTCAAGTTCAGGATTGGTAAGCTGTAGTCTAGGACTCCAGATGTCAGGGGACAGGAAATGCCAGATGGGTGCAGGTTCCCCAGAGAGAAGCGTCATGCCTGTGGCTGGTGAGCCAGGCGCTGCACAGGAGCAAGGCCGCCCACGACGTGGTCTTGGCTGGGTCCTGGGATGGGTGCCTGGGGCCTCCTGCCAGTGTCCAGACCCTCGGGAACCAGGAGAGGCAGCCTACAACCATGTCCCTCCCTGGGGCTCTTTTCCAGGTAACCCTGATGCTGCTGGACCAGAACAACCGGGAGCACGTGATTGATGCCTTCAGGCCCGACGTGACCTCATCCTCTTTCCAGAGGCCGGTCAACGACATGAACATTGCAAGTGGCTGCCCCCTCTTCTGCCCCGTCTCCAAGATGGAGGCCAAGAATTCCTACGTGCGGGACGATGCTATCTTCATCAAGGCCATTGTGGACCTGACAGGGCTCTAACTGCCCCTAATTGGTGTCAGGTTTGGGGGCAGCCAGGCACAGCCGGCTCACTGAGGGGCCACCATGCTGGGCCAGGGCCTCACTGCACAAGTGGGCAGGGGCCTGGCTTGGGCACTTGGGTGGGTGTTGGCCTGCAGCCAAGTTCACTGTCACGGGGAAGGAGCCACCAGCCAGTCCTCGGATTTCAGGGACTGCATAGAGGGGCCTGGGAGACGGGCTCAGCCCAGGGCCGTGCTGGGGCTGGCCAAGGGTCTTCTGGTGCTTCTCTTGCTGTCTGTCCTGTGCAGTGAAGGGAGAGGCCCTGGGTGGGGACGCTCGGAGCGGAGCACATCCCAGCAGTGCCCACGAAGCAGGAGCACAGTGGTAGCCTTGTGTTCCTCAGGCATGGCAGGCAGAAAGGAGGGGCTGCTCCAGGAGAAGGGCCTCCTGCCGGCCAGAGCGAGGAAGGCCATGCGGCTTGGTTCTCCCCTCTGGCCCCTGGAGAGAAGGGAGCATTCCTAGACCCCTGGGTGCTTGTCTGCACAGAGCTCCGGTCTGTGCCACGTTGGCCAGGCTGGCTATGGGAGAGGGTCTGGTCCCACTCTGCCTCTGCTCAGACCACGGTGTAGGGGTGCGCAGCACGGCCTGCGGGTGCTGTGAGAGCACTCCGTGCAGCTCACGAGACACAGTTATTAAACCGTTCAAATCTCTGCTCAGTGGTGTCCAGTTGGTTCCAGGTTGCCTGCAGCTTCCAGCCTTGGCAGTGGTCACCCTCTGGGGGTCCTCCTGGCCTCCTCCTCCCACGCACCCCTCCTCACAGGGTGTCTGGCTGCTGGCTGCTTTTCTGGCCAGCCAGGCTGTTCTCTCTGTTTCTTACCTCCTGTAAGCTCTCTCTTCTGAGCTTTGGTGAAGCCCAGTGTTCCCTCTTGTGACATATTCTTCCCTGCCCGTCTCCTCTCCTGGGCCTTCGAGGGACTCCTGTGAGAGCAGGATGAGGATGAGCCAGCCCTGGTTCTCTGCATAGGCTGCACCGCCCTCGGGGTGTGCTCTCAGGACTGAGGGCAGGCCGGCGTAGGCATGGCTCCGCTCTTGGTGTCAGGGCAGCCGTGCTGGGGTCTGCTTGGCGTCTGTATCAGGGTCCAGGGTAAAAGGTGGTCGCCTCTTGACAGCCTCACACACTGCTGTAGTTTGAGAAGTTAAGACCATAGAAAAATACAGAAAATAACTCGGGCACAGGAACTGACAGGTATTATCTGTGTTCCCCGAGTACTGGACCGAACGAAGCATCGCAGAGCCCATCCCCTGCTGTTCCCCTTCCCAGCCTCACCTCAGCTCCCCCAGGCCACGTGGCACCAACCGTGACGTTCCAGTTCTCCGGCCTTAGAATTTGGCATCTATGTGTTTCTGTATCCACAAATAAGACTATGGCATTTAAAACGCAGAAACCATCCACTGGGTCCTCTGCAGGTAGCTGGGCTTCTTACTCAGCCTGGCTGGGTTTTGTTTTGTTTTGTTTTTGAGATGGAGTTTCACTCTTGTTGCCCAGGCTGGAGTGCAGTGGCACAATCTCGGCTCACTGCAACCTCCACCTCCTGGGTTCAAGCGATTCTGCCTCAGCCTCCCGAGAAGCTGGGATTTACAGGCACCTGCCACCACATCCGCCTAAGTTTTGTGTTTTTAGTAGAGACTGTTTAACTATGTTGGCCAGGCTGGTCTTAAACTCGTGACCTCAGGTGATCCCCGTGCCTCAGTCTCCCAAAATGCTGGGATTACAGGCGTGAGCCACCACGCCCGGCCCAGCCTAGCTGTTTTAATGCCTCATGTGCTGGGCACTCTGCACGGCAGATTCTGACAGCCGTGTGTGAGTTCCCTAGAGAGCACCTCCCCGTCTTGTCTTCTGTGTCTTGAGTGTTTGGCGACTGTAGACCCCCAGACAGACCCACTCTTCTGGGTCTCCTGTCAGCCTGGAAGGAGAGCTGGTGGTTTCTAGGCCTTCCCGTTTTAGCAGTTGCCAGCTTGTCTTACAGAGGGGCGGCACCCTGTCCTTCCACCAGCACGAGGGGAGGGTTCCCATTGTCTCCCGTCCCTGCCACGCTCCGATGTGGGAATGGAGGAGATGCTGCCTTCTGGTGTGTGAAGGGGCTTCTCCGGAACGGGCGCTTCTCTGATGGCTCAGTGGCGTTGGGCGTCTGCCCTGCTCACTGCTCTCTGGGACTGCCTCCCATGTGAATTGCCTGTTGATGTCTTTTTCTTATTTTGTTTCTGGTTGTTGGTCTGGGCCTTATTCTACCGGTTGATAGGAGTTCCTAATATTCTTGATTAGAGTCTTGGTTGTGTGTTTGAACTGTTTCTGTTCCTGATGTGCAGAAGCTTAACCCTAAGACGCAATCAGTTGATCTTACCCTTTGTGAGTGGGGCAGTTTCTGACCAACTCAAAACATCCTGACCTCCCTGAGGTTGAAAAACAGTCATGTTTTCTTCTAATGATTTTGAGGTTTTATCTGTAACATGGGGGGCTTCTGTATTTGGGGATTTGTTTGTGCATGACAGGTTTTACTAGGCTGTTAAAGTTTGTTGAAGCAGATAGATTCAGGTCATCTCTTCTCCCTTACAACGAAATGGAGCTGTGAAATGAGAGGAACAGGACCAAAAAAAGTCCTCCCCAGGGACAAAGACGGGGAAGAAGCCAACATCCACAGAGGATTTCAACCCCTTCTGCATGGTGGGAAGTGGGTTGGTGGGTGGCTCTGAGCAGAAGAGGGCTGAGGGGGAGGCTGGCTACCCTGGGAGGCCCTGGCATGGAGCAGAGCCTGAGCTAAAAGTGGATCAGCTCAAAGACCAGGCAGAGCCGCTACCTTGCAGGTCCTTTGCCTGCCAAAGTAGCTGGTGGTCCTCCCAGCCCTCACCTCCCTGCAGTGGAGATGGAGGTCTGGAAAACTTGGGGAAGAGCTGAGGGCTGTGCCCCAACGCTGTCAGAGCAGTGTCGGGCTCCAGGCTGAAGCAGGGGCAGGCGCCTGCACTGAACAACTCCCCAGGTGCAGACGCTCCCAGGAAACACCAAGGCCTTAGAGGGAGAAGGCGCCCTGGAGCTGACTCATGGCCAGGCCTGGCCCAGCCGCCTCGTGGCCTTCCAGGGAAGTGCCAGGCTCTATGCAAACCCACAGAGGTACCATCGTCACTATCTAATTTTAGGACGTTTCATCCCCCTGCAGAAAAACCTTCCCACAAACCTGCTTCTGTCTCTGGGCTTGCCTGATGAGGACACGGATAGGAGTAGCATCCTGCAGCGTGCGGCCTTTGCTTTTCCTCAGCGGGATGCTTACAAGGTTCGTCTGTGTCGCCGCGTGTCGGAATTCCATTCCTCTTTTTGCCTGGCTGACATTCTCTGGGGGATGGACCTCATCTTATTTATCCGTTCACCAGCTGATGGACATTGGGCGGTTTCTAATTTTTGGCTACCCTGAAAATGCCATTGTGAACATTTGTGTACAAGTTGTTGTGGGGACGCATGTTTGTTTTCGCTTCTCTTGAATATTCATGCCTGGCAGTAGAACTGCTGGACCACGAGTTCAGCTTTGGAGGATTGCCAGACTTTCCCTCTATGGTCGTCTCACTTTACAGCTCCCTCGGGAAGGTTTTTTTTAATTTTTGTTTTTCCAGACGGAGTCTCACTTTGTCTCCCAGGCTGCAGCAGTGGTGCAACATTGGCTCGCTGCAACCTCAGCCTCCAGAGTAGCCATGATTACAGGTGTGCACTACCACGCCTGGCTCATTTTTGTGTCTAGTAGAGATGGGGTTTCTCCGTGTTGGCCAGGATGGTCTCGAACTCCTGGCCTCAGTGTTCCGCCCGCCTCGCCCTCCCAAAGTGCTGGGATGACAGGCGTGAGCTGCTGCACCAGCTAATAACATTTTTACACGTCATAGTAAAATTGATTTGCTGTTTTGTTATAAATGCTGCATGAGTGTTCACACCTGTGCAGATTTGGAGAAGCGCCACAATAGCCAGGAGACAGGCGCACCCTGCCGTCTCAGGACCGCTCGCCCCCAGCTCAGGCTGGAGTGAAATGGCGTGATCTTGGCTCAGTGCAACCTCCACCTCCCAGGTTCAAGTGATTCTTCTGCCTCAGCCTCCCAAGTAGCTGAGATTACAGACGCCTGCCACCACACCCAGCTAATTTTTGTATTTTTAGTAGAGATAGGGTTTCACCATATTGGCAAGGCTGATCCTGAACTCCTGACCTCATGATCTGCCCGCCTCAGCCTCCCAAAGTGTTGGGATTACAGGTGTGAGCCACTGCGCCCACCACTCAGAAATGAAGAACAAGGCGTTAGAAACTGGAGGAAAGACTGTCCTAGTTTAAAGTGGCAGAGAACATGGCAGTCGTGTGTTTGTGCCCAGTCCTTCCTTTGTGGAAGGGACTGGGTGTCTGGCTAAAGAAATATTCAGGGTGTGGCGTGTCCTCTAACTGTATAAAGTAAGACGTGAGACGAGAGAAATGATTGAAAGATGGAATTTATAATTAACAGGGAAAGAACTTAGGGATCTTAAGGCTTTTCGGTCTGGCCATTGAGAGAGTAATGAGGTGTCTTTAGGAGAACAGACCAGGAGTGTGGCTGAGCAGCTTTTGACAAGGAGCTTAGTGTGGACAGGACGAAGCCAGAGGCTGCAAACCAGGACAGAGGGAAGATGACCCCAGAGGCATTTCAGACTCCTGCTGCTGCTTCTCCCCCCACGGGCCTGGCGCACCAAGGCCTTTGGGAGGGAGATGTGTCAAAAGAGAGGTGTAGGGTGCTCTCAGGACTTTAGAGCCTGCTGGCCAGGGCCACCCCGAGTCTGCTCTCTACGTTCCAGGGCAGGCCCCTAAGCCGCTCCAGCCTGTCTCAAGTGGCCCCGGGGAAGGTACCATCATAGCCTTGGTAGGGTCCATGTGGTGCTGGTTCTGCAGGGATGCGCTTCCTCCACTGGGAGTCACAGGATGTCACAGACAGCAGGGCCCACATGGAGACTTGCAGAGCCATGGCAGAGAGCCCACATAGGCAATACGTGGTAGGGCCTTGGGGTTAAGGCCACCCTGAGTCCCCAGAACTGCAGAGCCTCCAGTGTTCATTGCCAGCCTGGGAGAGTTGCAGGCATGAGACTCCAACCTACTGGACCTGCGTGAGGGCTGAGCCCAGCACAGCTTTAGGGCTGAGATTACCAAGAGCCTGGAGGGCCTCTCCGTACCCCACAGTGTGTACAAGGCAGGATTTGGAGTCAGAGAAGATGATTCTCAGGCCTTCGGGTTTCGTGGTGTTCTCCCTGCTGGTGTTGGACGTGCTCGAGGCCTCTTTACGGTTTATCTGCTTTGGAATGGAAACGTCTGTTGCGTGCCTGCCCTACACTGTATTTGGAAGCATGTAACTTGCTCAGTTTCACAGGCTCGCAGTGGAGGGAAAGCTGCCTCCACTTGGGATGAATCATCCCATGTCTGATTTAGATGAGTCTCTGGGCTTGGACTTTTGAATTGATGTTAGAATTAGTTAAGACTTTGGGAGCCATTGGGATGGAATGAGTATATTTTGCATGTGAAAAGAACATGGGCCGGGTTTGGTGGCTCATGCCTGTAATCCCAGCACTTTGGGAGGCCAAGGCAGGCGGATCACCTGAGGTCGGGAGTTTGAGACCAGCCTGGCCAACATGGGGAAACCCTGTCTCTACTAAAAATACAAAATTAGCCTGGCATGGCCGCACCCGCCTGTAATCCCAGCTACTCCGGAGGCTGAGGCAGGAGAATCGCTTGAACCCAGGAGACACAGGCTGCGGTGAGTGGAGGTCGTGCCACTGCACTCCAGCCTGGGAGACGAGGGAAACTCTGTCTCAAAAAAAAAGAAAAAGAAAAAGAACATGAGTTGGTTGGTGGGCAGGGATGGAATGCTGTGGTCCAAATGTTCGTACGTCCCAAACTCATGTCAGCATTTCATTGTCATTGTAACGTTATTAAGAGGTGGGATCGGCCAGGCGCAGTGGCTCACACCTATAAACCCAGCACTTTGGGACGCCCAGGCAGGCGGATTACAAGGTTAAGAGATCAAGACCATCCTGGTCAACATGGTGAAACCCCATCTCTACTAAAAATAGAAAAATTAGCTGGGCGTGGTGGCGCATGCCTGTAGTCCCAGCTACTTGGGAGGCTGAGGCTGGAGTATTGCTTAAACCCAGGAGGCGGG